GCTCCATCCGACATTTTTGCAAAGGAAATTGTTGTTCAGAATCGTCTCACCTACCCCCCATTTCCGGTTCTTACACTATTTACGGGACACCCTGTATAGTATACTTCAAAAATAATAAAACCTGCCGAAACACTCAACAAATTATTTCAGAGTGAGAAAGTAAATTCTGTAATACATGATGGTAGCGATGAAGATTGAAGAACAAACCAAGTTATTCGTGCTGCCAATAAAAATAATAGTAGGTAAATCTTGTTTAGATCATTTATTAATTTATTATTAATGTAAGAATATTTAAGGAATATTTAAAAAACTCCATGTACATAATATTGTTCAGTTTCGGACAAAATGTTATAATGGACAAAATTCAAGTGAATTCTGCCGTAAATTTTTAGAAAATTGGTATCTCTAGGTTGTTTTGGATATAGATTTGAAATTTCGAATCAAAATGGTCGATTCAATATAGCGGACGGAAAAATCGAAACTTAATAAATTTTCACGAAACATTTCCTATTTTTAAGAGCCATGTTGCAAATCCTTGTTGGTTGCGGGAGTGCATATTAGCAAACAAACTCAATATTTCGATATGTCTTCACAGACTCTTGCATCGATAATTGAGTTTTCTACGACAGACACTCGCGTTCCCTTTAACATAATGGTAGATGCTTGTCTAAAATCACCAGCCAGCAATACAGGTTTTCCTCCCATTAAAGAACTGTTATTGCATACTTTTCTTAAGCCCATGCCTGTAGCATCTAAAGCAAAGGGTCTAGCCGAATAAGCATGGTAAAAGTGCCCCCAAACCAAATTGAACAGGGTTAAGGTTAATACCACTCGATAGGTGGTTCAAAAAAACCCCGTTTCACAGAGTTTCAACCCGGTATCTCCACTACAGGGGTAATTACGGGGTGAAAAATAATTTTTTGGTTTATACTTAATATCTCCCGTTCTGCTCGATTAAAAATTATTATAAAAAAAATCGTATGATATTCTATCGATTTATGGTACATAGTCGAGAATTTTATCAGAATTTTTGGATGGAAATTCGATTATTAAAAAATTCGAAAAAATTTTAACCGGCAATTTTTTGTCGAAGTTATCAGGTGACCACGTTTGTTGTTTTTATACAGTATAAAGCCCTTGAAGGAATTAGTAATCTCTAATTTTTTCCGATTTTTCGAAGGGGTTCGTAGGAACGTAGTCAAGAAAATGATTAAAAAATAGTGAAAAAGCTTTGTTGCCTTAATTACTTACATGACCATGTTCATATTTTTACAGCTATAGCGTAACATTATGACTATTGATGCGTAATTTTTTCAGATTTTCTGGAAAAGTGTTTTTGGAAAAATTGTTAAAGAATTATTAATTTATATTTCCTAATTTTTTTATACGAAAAAAGACTGCGCGTGCTTTTAAAATAGACATAATTAATATACATTTGTTTACATACTTTGTTAACTAGTCGCTGTATGTAGTTTCAAATACGTGTGGTACCTGACTCCTGTTGATTAGAACCACCACGGCGCACAGTAGGCGCGACATCGGGACAAAAATCGAGTTTTAACTTTTGTTCAAATGACCGAAATCAATTACTTTACGTCTTTAACAATAACCGAAAGTTTATGGAATACAAGTGAAATGAGTTGAATGTTATTAAATATAAATTGATATGTACATTTATGTATTGTCGTTAACGCTCATCCCTTTTGATTTCGTAATATTTCAATATCTGTTGATACTCATCGTATACAGGTAGCGCTGCATAAAAGTGATAAAAAAAATTTGCTCATACAGCTTTTTATTCATTGCAACGATAAAAAAATGTTTAATATTGTTTCGAAATATGTTTAATAATTACTTTCAAGTTTAATAATTGCCCCGCTCGATTAGCTCGATTTTGGATAAAAAAGTAAATTTCCGATGCGCAATTTAATAAGTTTGCCTTATTATGCCTGAACGAAACTAGGACAAATCTTTTCTTTAAAGGACCCTTACTAAAAATTAAAAAACAAATCCCGTTTGCTTATTGGAAATATATTAATAATATAATATTATATATTTTCACGTAGACAGTTAAGGAAGGATGACCAGGGTCAAGATGGATCTCTTGTAAAAAATATCTTGATTTAAGTTCATGTGTTAATAACATTTTTAAATTAATAACAAATTGTCATTAACAAATGAATATATTTAAAATGGAATCTATACTACTTGATGAGCGAAATATATTGGACTATCTACCTTGTCGTGGTGAAAAGGCTTACAATTCCATATATTTGAAAAAATAACTAAAACAGCAATTAAACCAAATCCAGTCACAGTTTAATCTCAAGATAATGTTCAATATTAACAATCCAGAAATCGTCACTAATATACAGAGTTTTCGGCCACCCCTGGGAAAAATTTTAAAGAGAGATTCCAGAGGCCAATATAAGACGTCAAGAATCACGAATATCAATTTCGTGACTGAGGCTTCGTTAAAAAGTTATTAAAAAAATACGATTAAAAAATTTCAAATCAATCGTGATCATTTTTGGTGAATGCACATACCCCCGAAATCTCCGTACCCACTGTTTAAATATCGATTAAAATGCGATAGTTAATTGAAATCCGAAATAATTCGTTACCCGGTTTGTTTTCGGTTACGCGACCGACCAGGAAGATTCTAGGTCGACGCGTCCGCTATTCGAAACATTAGAGGACAGAAAAACACGGTTCTCGAGGTTTTCTGTAAAGTCACGCGAACGATAAAGTAACGTTCGAGTTCGAACAAGCCAAGTTCAACGCCCAGGCATAGAGAAGGTACGACAATTAGAAATTAAACAAAGACGGACGAGAGACGCCACGGCAGCGCCACGCGACGAAGGATTCCCCCTCTCACGCGCACACTTTTGGCAGCTCATGTTCGTCCGTCACTTGCTATCGAGCCACTGAACGGAGCATATCGATAAGCGAGCACGCTATCGAGAAGTTTTAAAAAATCTCCGAATCGGTCGAGTTATTCGACCCTTCGTTGAGAAGCTTCTCCAAAAATTAGCCTGCTTTGTCGCGAGTTCCTAGATCAACGATCTAGCTCAGTGCGACACAACATAAACATAAAATTAAAGCGTCGAGTTATTCGAGCTTCCAAGGGCTAGACGGCTCCACAGTCCAGGGCTTACTGAAAATCCCCTGGGTGGACCCACCGTCTCCCCACGGATCGAGTCATAAACTCGATCCTTCCTGGTTTTTCGAACGGTTACGAACCCACAGACCAAGGGTAGAAATAAAATACCCTTGAGTGGATTCGCCGTCTTCTAGCCGAAGCGCGGGACATCTAGGATCTCCCAGCCTACGGCAAAATTATCAGATCACGTCCCAAAATCGCTCGCCTGGTACGGCCGCAGTGCGTAGGACGTCGATTCTAAAAAGAACGTGGTATCCGGAGCAACTGTAAGTCGCCCAAGGGCGCCGTTGTCAAACCGGTACCGCACCGTGCCCGTACGCACATAACCAGACGGTGAAGGGCCGAGGATAAGGGCGACGGTTGGAATCTTACAACCTCCCTCTGATCGCCCCTCCTACGACAACCAAGAGTTGCAGGCTTGAAAGATAGCGGAATCAGAATCTTGCATAAAGAAACAATAAGCGAGCGATTCCCGATTTAAAGGGAACGCTCTCACACATACAGTCCACTAATATAGCCGCGTATCGCGGCGACTGAGATTCCCGCTCCTGGGTGCGACAAGCACAAACCAGGCGCGAGCGCGAAAGAGAAAGACATCCGACGTGAGTCACGTTGTCAGGTATTTAACGCCTATTCTTGTCTCTTTCTGTTACAGATCATCGAAGCTAGACAGCCGGTAACGCGTCTAGACCGGCAGACGGGTTTTTTTGTCTCACGTAAGACGATTCAATAAACGACGTAGTCGTATTCATCGGCTACGTGAAAATTAAAACCCACTTGTATTCTTTTCCCCGACGTTCCTTCCCTCGAGATCCGGACCACCGTTAGGCGAGGTTTTTTCAAACCTACTCCCCCTAACATAAGGTCCTTCGAGCCGGATCAAACGAGGTTGATTGGAACGGGAAAAGGTGACTGCCTTTGCACGTGACGAAACTACCACGTAAGAGTTGAATCGAGTTGATTGATCCTCGACAAACTCGCTATGGCGTTATCCGAGTCCATGTCGCGTTCCGACATTGAGGATCAGCTCATGGAGTTAACAGACGAGTTCGATCGTCTTAGATCCGTGAGCATAAATCTCAAAAAAATGGGCAGAGCTAAATTCACGGAGAAACTCCTCCAAGAAAAGCTCGACTACGCCGGGCGAACATGGCGGGATGTCCGCACCATGTATGCGAACGTGCGGAAGATGATTCCCGCCGCAAAAAGACAAGCCTATACGCTTTTTAAGCCAGGCTACCTCCCCGGCGTGGAAAACGAATTCCAGGAATTCCAGGATTTCGTAACCGCCGAGCTGACACGAATCGCTGCTGAATCGAGACCACCGGCACCGGAGGTCCAGCAAAGCAGCATGCCCATTGAGCTCCCCAAGCAAAGATTGCCTAAATTCGGAGGGGATCCTCGGGAATGGGAACATTTCGAGGATCTATTTACCACCGGGGTGATGAACAATGCGCAGTTATCAGACGTACAGAAATTGTACCATCTGAACGCATGCTTGGAAGGACCAGCTCTCGCGACGATTTCGTCGCTCGAGATTGTCGGACGCAACTTCCCCGAAGCATGGAGAATGCTCAAGGATAAATACGGGCTTCCACGCATGGTCACGGGAAGGTTGCTGGACAAACTATTTTCGCTGAAGCAGATTGAATTCAACGATTTAGCCAGCATGCAGCAGGTCACTGTGGAATGCACAGAGACTCTAGCTGCATTAAGAAAAAGGGGCACGTCCGAACCGCTAGTAGAATGGATGCTAGCGTACTGGACGATACAACATTTCACTCCGAAATTGGAGCTGGAATGACAGAAATCGCTCGGCCTCTCGACTAACTACCCGATGTTCGAGGATGTCCGAACCTTCGTCGATCATCACGCACAAGCTCTGCTTTCGATGAAAGAGGAACGTCGAGAGGCAGCTCTCGCCCCGGAAACAAAGTCCCGCATGCCGAAGCCCATCGACGCTCGACCAAAAAGCGTCGCTTCGAAACCACTGACCAGCCATAACGTCGTGGTGACAACCGACTCGGCTCCGAAAGAAAAACGGCCGAGTGCGGAAAACGACGGGCGAGTCAGGCAAGTGCGGGTGGAAGTGTGCGGATTCTGCTCTGGGCAACACAGCCTGCCACAATGCAACCATTTCATGGTGTTGTCGGCGAACATGCGCAGTCAGTACATTCGAAATCGACTATGGTGTGTACGCTGCCTAGCTAGCTCCCACCCTACCGAGCGTTGCCCAAGACCCCAAGTATGCAACCAGTGTAGTGGGAAGCACCATTCCCTACTGCACTGTAATTACAATTGGGACCAGAAGAATGCGAGGCCGCCAGCACGAAATTCATTTGGCCGGCGTGACGAGAGCGGTTTTAACGCTCAACCACGGAAACCGACCAAGTCAAAGCCAAGAGAAAAAAGTACGGCTTCACACGCACAAGACAAACATGCCTCGACATCACACTGTACCGCGATCGGTACAGGCGCACCGAGGCCTGTTGTGCTAGCCACTGCACGAGTACGCGTGTTTGGCGAGAACGGTGCGTCGCGGATTGCGCGAGCACTGTTAGACCAAGGTTCGGAGACATCATTCGTCTCCGCGGGGCTGGCTAATGACCTCCAATTAAAACGCATACGTACCCCAGCCACGGTATCAGGCTTGGGGGGCGGCGAAACGCAAAAAATCAAATTCAGCGTTGGATTAAACCTCGGCCCGGTAAAAGGGACGAAACCGATATGTGTCGCTTACGCGTACGTCGTGCCGAAAATCACGACCTACCGCACACCGTCGGCGAACGCGCTTGTTTACACTGCGTTCCGAGGTTTACCGTTAGCCGATCCAGAAACCAGGGCCGATCCTACGATCGAAATTCTGATCGGAACGGATTTATATGCTCAGGTGATGCGACCGGGCTTCCGACGAGGGGCGAATGAAGGTCCGATCGCCCAAGAAACGGCGTTTGGCTGGGTTATATCCGGCCCTATACACGCTGAGGGCGACGGCCGGAATACGGTAAGAACGCTGCATTGCACCGTTCTCGAATCGCTGGATTACGCGATTCGACGATTCTGGGAAACCGAAGAAATCCCCACGACCTCGGTGCGGTCCAAGGCGGAAGAAGAGTGCGAAGCACTCTTCCGAAGAACCGTCAAACGGGACAAAACCGGACGGTTTATAGTCCGATTGCCCTTGAATCACCCGAGACCGGACGAAGCGTTAGGACACTCGTTCCACATAGCGCTGTCCGCTCTCGCGAGGATGAGGCGTAAACTGGACACGGATACGACCCTCGACAGAGAATACTCTGAGTTCCTCGCGGAGTACGAGTCCTTAGGTCACATGACTCGGCTTGAGCCGATTGACCAGAATCGACTGTACATTCCGCATCGAGCGGTCGTACGCACGGAAAGTGCAACGACCAAACTGCGAGTTGTGTTCAATGCAACCAGCAGAACGGTCGGAGGGCGATCCCTAAACGACGTCCTGCATGTCGGACCAAAATTACAGAACGATATCACCTCGGTTTTAACGAGGTGGCGTCTGTATGAGTACGTTCTGGTGGCTGATATCGAGAAGATGTTTCGACAAATCCTCGTCGCCCCACAGGATCGTCGTTTTCCAATGCATCGTATGGCGCGTACCTGAAACCGAAACAGCTGGAAAGCGTTTCGAGTGAATACCGTTACATACGGCACGGCGTGCGCCCCGTACTTTAGCGATGCGAACCCTCCTCGAATTGAAGGAGCAGGATGGAGATAGAGTTTCCTCTCGCCGCTCCGATTCTCGAGAGGGACACATACGTCGATGACGTATTTATGGGAGCGTCCCACAAAACCCTGCTTGAGAAAATTCGCAAGCAAGTCTGCGATCTCCTGCAGGGCGGTGGATTTCAAGTTGAGAAAATGGGCTGGAAATTCGCCGCAAATTATGCGGAAATATCCCCCAAGGTGCTCACTCCCACGCCGTAGACCTCACTCTGTTCGACGATTCCGAACTAAAGGTGCTTGGTCTACGATGGATCCCATCCGGAGACTACTTTTCATTTCGATCTGCAACGGTTTCAACCGTCTGCGTTACCGATGACAAAAAGAAATTTGTTCTCGGAGATCGCGAAGCTCTTCGATCCCCTCGGCTGGTTATCACCAGTCGTAATCCGTGCAAAAATTCTGATGCAGTCCCAATGGCTGGAGAAAATCCAGTGGGACGACCAAATTTCCACGGACACGCAAAAAACGTGGAACACGTTTTGCAGGGATTGGAGCAGTCTCAAAGAACTAAAATTCCCGAGATGGATCCAATACGGAGCCGACGGAGTTACTGTGGAACTACACGGATTCTGCGATGCATCACTCGCTGCCTATTCGGCCGTCACTTACTTACGTGTGACGACAAAAAATAATGACGTGTTTACGACATTAATCATGGCAAAGACACGAGTGGCTCCGATAAAAACACAGTCTATCCCCGTCCTGGAATTGAACGGGGCTGTGTTACTTTCCGAGCTCATAGTGCACGTGAAACGGTCATTCCCCATAGAAATGAGCCGCATAATCTGCTGGACAGATTCCACGATTGCACTCGCTTGGTTGAAAAAGCATGCGTCGACATGGAAGGTTGTGATAGCCAACCGTGTGTCAAAAATTCAGACCATGCTCCCAAAAGCTGAATGGCGGCACGTTGCCACGCGCTTCAACCCAGCGGATCTTAATTCGCGAGGTGTAGACGCCGCAGAACTCATTCAGTCCGAATTATGGATTTCCGGGGCGAAATGGCTTCGACAATCAGAGGAAAATTGGCCGAAATCGCCAGCCTCGCTCGAGACCGAGGAGGGTAAACGCGTATCGCATACCCTCATGGCCACTCCGGAAAAGGAATGGAACTTAGTTTTCCGATTTTCCCAATGGAGTAAGCTACAACGTGTGACTGCCTATTGCCTCCGGTTCCGGAGGCCGGCGGTCGGAGAACGAAGGTCATTCGATGCAAAAGTTGTCGATGCAGCGGAAATCCAGCGTGCAGCGGAAAGAATTGCACGCTACTTACAGCGTACGCATTTCGCAGAAGAGTACCGGTGCTTGAAAAAGCGCAAAGGAATCTCCTCTAAAGAGCCTAAACCCTTTTCTCGACGATAAGGAAGTCTTACGAGTGGGTGGAAGGTTGGAGAATGCGACGCTTGCATGGGAAACCAAACACCCGATTATCCTGCCGAAACATCATGTGTCTAACATGATAATCAGGCAATGCCACGTGGATACGTTGCACGGGGGTTTGCAATTGACCATGTACACGGTGAGACAGAAATTCTGGATCATCGGCTGCCGAAACGCGGCGCGCACGGTTATCCACCAATGCATACGATGCGTGAGATGGCAAGCAAATACCTCCACGCAAATCATGCAGGATTTAATACCGGAGCGCAGTCGCGCGGCACGACCTTTCTCAAACTGCGGAGTCGACTACGCGGGACCGTATCGGGTCCGCGACTCCGCCGGTCGTGGGAAAACGGCTCATAAAGCATACATAGCAGTGTTCATCTGCTTCGCTACGAGAGCCGTGCACATCGAACTCGTCCATGATTATACGACGAGTGCATTTCTGGCCGCATTAGACCGATTTATCGCCCGCCGAGGAGTTCCGTCCTGCATGTTCAGTGATAACGGAACGAACTTCGTCGGAGCGGATCGGGAATTGAAGGAACACTTCAATTCGGTGTATCAAACCCCGAGAAATGCGAACGAAGTGCGGTCAAAAGGGCATTAAGTGGAGGTTTAACCCACCCAGTGCGCCCCACTTTGGTGGTATGCAAGAAGCCGGCGTGAAATCGGTGAAACATCACCTGAAACGCATCATCGGCGAATTTACACCCACAAGCGAGGAAATGCAGACACTCCTCTGCAAGATCGAGGCGAGTTTGAATTCGCGACCGATCGCCGCTTTGAGTGACTGTCCCGAGGATTATGCCCCTCTCACGCCGGGCCACTTCCTAATAGGCGGACCGATGAATGCACTTCCGGTCGAGTCAGTGGAAAAGGAAAATCTCTCGCGGCTTACGCGATGGAGAGCGGTCCAGAAATTCCACGAGCAGCTCTGGAAACATTGGACGCGAGATTATCTCACGCACCTCCAGAAACGCTATAAGTGGCGCACCACCCAAGTGCAGTTAAAACCGAATGACTTGGTTTTAGTGCAAAACCCTCTTCTCCCCCCGAATCAATGGGAAATGGGACGAATCGAGGAAGTATTACCGGGCCGAGACAGGTGCGTGCGTGTAGTTAAAGTACGTACAGTTACGTCTACATACACACGTCCGATTACACGGTTGTGTAAACTGCCCGTCGATGAGTCAACATCGACAACGGCCGCGAGACGCACGGATAAACGAAGCCCGACGCTGAGTAAGTACATTTAAACTTTTTCAATAGAAGGTTTTGTACTTCGACCTTCTCTACGGGCTTTACGCGACGTGACCGCGACCTACGCCTCCCATTCTTGTTGCACGGACCGTGCAAGGGGGGCGGTATGTTTAAATATCGATTAAAATGCGATAGTTAATTGAAATCCGAAATAATTCGTTACCCGGTTTGTTTTCGGTTACGCGACCGACCAGGAAGAGTCTAGGTCGACGCGTCCGCTATTCGAAACATTAGAGGACAGAAAAACACGGTTCTCGAGGTTTTCTGTAAAGTCACGCGAACGATAAAGTAACGCTCGAGTTCGAACAAGCCAAGTTCAACGCCCAGGCATAGAGAAGGTACGACAATTATAAATTAAACAAAGACGGACGAGAGACGCCACGGCAGCGCCACGCGACGAAGGATTCCCCCTCTCACGCGCACACTTTTGGCAGCTCATGTTCGTCCGTCACTTGCTATCGAGCCACTGAACTGAGCATATCGATAAGCGAGCACGCTATCGAGAAGTTTCCACAAAATCTCCGAATCGGTCGAGTTCTTCGACTCTTCGTTGAGAAGCTTCTCAAAAAATTAGCCTGCTTTGTCGCGAGTTCCTAGATCAACGATCTAGCTCAGTGCGACACAATATAATATAAAATTAAAGCGTCGAGTTATTCGAGCTTCCAAGGGCTAGACGGCTCCACAGTCCAGGGCTTACTGAAAATCCCCTGGGTGGACCCACCGTCTCCCCACGGATCGAGTCATAAACTCGATCCTTCCTGGTTTTTCGAACGGTTACGAACCCACAGACCAAGGGTAGAAATAAAATACCCTTGAGTGGATTCGCCGTCTTCTAGCCGAAGCGCGGGACATCTAGGATCTCCCAGCTTACGGCAAAATTATCAGATCACGTCCCAAAATCGCTCGCCTGGTACGGCCGCAGTGCGTAGGACGTCGATTCTAAAAAGAACGTGGTATCCGGAGCAACTGTAAGTCGCCCAAGGGCGCCGTTGGCAAACCGGTACCGCACCGTGCCCGTACGCACATAACCAGACGGTGAAGGGCCGAGGATAAGGGCGACGGTTGGAATCTTACAACCTCCCTCTGATCGCCCCTCCTACGACAACCAAGGGTTGCAGGCTTGAAAGATAGCGGAATTAGAATCTGGAATAAAGAAACAATAAGCGAGCGATTCCCGATTTAAAGGGAACGCTCTCACACATACAGTCCACTAATATAGCCGCGTATCGCGGCGACTGAGATTCCCGCTCCTGGGTGCGACAAGCACAAACCAGGCGCGAGCACGAAAGAGAAAGACATCCGACGTGAGTCACGTTGTCAGGTATTTAACGCCTATTCTTGTCTCTTTCTGTTACAGATCATCGAAGCTAGACAGCCGGGAATACGTCTAGACCGGCAGACTCGTTTTTACGTACAAATTCCAAAAGTATCAAAATAAAAGGCTTAGTCGAGATATTCGACTAAGCGAAAATTAAATTGAAAATTTGTATTCTTTTCCCGACGTTCCTTCCCTCACGATCCGGACCACCGTTAGGCGAGGTTTTTTCAAACCTACTCCCCCTAACACCCACTTTTGAGCAAAAATTCGGATAGGTGCTGAAATTTTTCGGCGAAAGAAAGTTTTTTCAAATCGTTCTAAAAAAATTATTTTTGGTTGCAAGGGTCGATTAGAATCATTTTTGGTCATTACACATACCCCCCGATACCTTCCTACGCATTTTTAAGAAAAGAGTTCCTTACAGAGAATCTGATGTGAGGCCAGAAATGCTTCCCTGTAATTTCATGCGTATATTTAAAACGTCATACCTTCTGAACGGATTGGACGATTTTAATGTTTCGAACGGCAAACAGCGCTTATTTTAGTGTAGAATATTTAAATATTCCAAGAATATTCGAAATGTTGTTCCTTGACCCCGCAAAGTGAGAGAAACCCCGTCAAAATGGCTCAATTTTCAAATAACCATAACTTCTACAATGGTGAATATATCTGAATGAAAATTTTCTCTGTATTCGGCAAAATTTCCGTACAGCTTCCGTACAAATTTATTAAAAATGAAAACCGTATTTTTAAGAAAAATGGAGAGTCATAAATTTTTTTGAAAATTAATATATCTGAGTAACTCGGCATGCTGATTTTGAATTTCTATTCGAAATTGTGGAATTCAAAATGGCTGGTCCAATCTGGCGGATTCTGAGAAATATGGACTTTTATATCGATAACCCATTGAATATTGA